TGCCAGTGCCCAGGGACACTGCCCAGGGACACTGCCAGTGCCCAGTGACCAGTGACAGTGCCCAGGGACACTGCCAGCACCGAGGGACCAGTGACAGACCAGTGACCAGGGACACTGCCCACTGACTCTGCCCAGTGACACTGTCAGCACCCAGTGACCAGTGATCAGTACCAGTGACAGTGACCAGTGACCAGTACCAGGGACACTTGCCCATGGACACTGCCAGTGCCCAGTACCAGTACCCAATGTCCAGTGACACTACACTGGCCAGTGACACTGTCAGCACCCAGTACCAGTGCCCAGTACCAGTGCCCAACACCCAGTGCACAGCAACCAGTACAAGTGCCCAGTACCAGTGCTCAGCAGCCAGTGTCCAGTGCCCAAGGCCCAGTATCCAGTACTAGTGCCCAGCATCCAGTACCAGTGACCAGTACCCAGTATACGTGTCCAGTTGCAGTGACCAGTATCATTGCCCAGTGCCCAGCACCCAGTACCAGTGCCCGGGGCCTAGTACCAGTGCCCAGGGCCCAGTGACCCAGTACCAGTGCCTAGCACCCAGCACCACTGCCCAGCCCTCAGTACCACTACCCAATGCCCAGCACCCAGTGCCCAGTGCCCAGCACCCAGTGCCCCTGCCCAGTATCAGTGCCCAACACCAGTGTACAGCACCCAGCGTCCAGCACCCAATGCCCACCATCCAGTACCCAGTACCAGTGCCCAGTGCTCAGCACTAACACTGCCCCATGACCAGCACCCAGTACAGCTTCCCAGGACCGATGCCCAGCACCAGCACCCAGCACCCAGTCCCAGTGCCCAGCACTCAGTGCCAGTGCCTAGCACTCAGTACCAGTGCCCAGCACCTAGTACCAGAACCCAGTACCCAGTCCCAGCCCTCAGCACCAACATCCAGTCACAGTCCCCAGCACCCAGCCCCCCAGTCCCAATGCCCAGCACCCAGTCCCAGCGCCCAGTAGGAGCCCCCAGAGCCCCGTGGGTGCCCCCTCGTGCCCCCGCAGTGGCACCTGAAGGTGAGGCAGTGTCGCTGCTGGCGCTCGGTGAGCAGTCGCAGGGGGTCCCTGCAGCAGTAGCGCTGGTGGCAGGTGCCGCAGCAGAAGGTGAAGAACTCGCAGTCGAAGCCCGGGTGCCACGAGCCGTTCCTGTCCACATACCACAGGCAGTCCTCGCCCCCAGCCACTGCGGAGGGTCACCTGTCACCGGGGCCTCGGGCCACCCGGCCACCCCCGCCCCGGCAGCCCCGGCAGTGCCACACACACCCCGGCCCCACGTGGCACAGCCTGGACCCCGCCGTGTCCTGGGCCGCTGCTCCCCCTGCACCCCGGTCCATCCTGCCCTGTGCCCACCCCAGGGCTCTGGTCCATCCTGCCCCAGGGACCCTCAAAATGTGCCCCTATGTGACCTCAATATTCTGCTCCATCCTGCCCCACAGACCCCCAAATTGTGCCCCTACGTACCCCCCAAAACCTTCCTCCCTCCTGCCTCACGGACCCCCAAACTGTTCCCTTATGTACCCCCAATATTCTGCTCCATCCTGCCCCACGGACCCCTCCCTCCTGCCCCACGGACTCCCAAAACATGCCCCTCTGTCCCCCCACCTCCCATCCCTGTGCTCCCCCCCCCCCACTCTGTCCTGCCTCACCCCCCTGCAGACCCCTTTCCATGTCACGCAGCTCCGGGACCCCTCCGGTCCCCTGAGCCCCCCCCGTCCCCCCTCCCGGATGCTCCAGTGGCACCTCCCGTCCTATTTCTGGCCGGAGCCACCTGTTTTCCCAGAAATAGCCGCGGATCCAGGCCCGGGGGCGGTGGGAGGCGCCGGGACAGCGGGCGGGGAGCCGCGGCCGTGGGTTTCCTTCCTCCCGCGGGAGTCTCCCAGGGGGCCGCGCACACCAAAAAGCGCCCCCGGCAGCTCAGGTCCGAGTGGGGAAACTGAGGCACGGGGGGAGCGAGCGTGGGAACCCCCCAAATCCCCCGGGATGGGTATCCCGGCTCCGTGCCCACTGTTCCCGGGGACCGGCGGCTCCCGGGGACCCCGAAAATGGGAAATGGGGGGTTGTTCTTCTTGGGGGACACAGAGTCCGTGGGGGCACGTTGGTGAAAGGGGCCGCGTGTGGTGAGTGACGATCACGGCCGGTGGCCTCAGCGGGACCCCCCGGTCAGGGGGATGGCCCCGAGTCCCCCCCATCGGGAACCCTCGGTCACAGGCGGTGTCACCGCGTCCCATCGCAGGGTGGCACCGTACTCCCCTCCCCGGGCCCCCATGTCTCACCCATCGAGGTGGTCATGGCCACCAGCAGGGTCCCGGCCAGGGGCCACCCGCCCCCGGGGCCACCTGGCCCCATCGCGGGGCCGGGCCCACTGTCCCCGCTCAGCACTGCCCGGGGCGGGGGTGAAGGCTGCGCTGCGGCACCGGGGCCTCTCCTGGTGCCTCCCGGTTCCTCCCGGGGCCGCGGGGCCGCGCCTGGTGCCTCCCGGTGCCTCCCGGTGTCTCCTGGTGCCGCCCGGTGCCTCCTGGTGCCGCTGTCTCCCGGTGCCGCAGTGCTGCTCCGAGTGTCCCCCGGTCCCTCCCGGTGCCTCCCGGTGCCTGCCGGTGCCCCCCGGCGCGGGGCGGGCGCAGGCCCGCAGTGACGCCGCAGCCGGCGGCGCTCGGTCGGTCCGTGCCCGATGTCCCCCCCCCCCCCCGGCCCCCCCCCCCCCCGCAGTCACCGTTCCCCCCCCGCCCCCGGGGGGGGGGGCGACCCCGGCGGCGCCGGGCGCGGCCGGGGGATGAAGAGATACCCT